TACCCATTTATAGACTTGTTTTTAAACATTCATAATGATAAATTTGGCAAGTCATTTAAAAAAAATACCTGTTTTTGTACAGTCCTCTTAAATGGTGTTAAACAAATTTAATTAATCCTAAGAAAATAATATAAACCACCAGAATGAAAAGTTTGTATTATGCTATGCTGTTAATTCTGTTTCATCATTATGTAGAGTAATAGCTTTAGAGATATCTTGAAGACATTGTATTCCCACTTGTGGTTCCAACAGAATTTTGTGGTTCAACTGGACTTTGTTTTAAAATCAATAAAGGTTTCAAAAATTAGCTTCTGTGCCATAATTTTTGTGACTTTTTCTTTGAAGAAAATTTTTATGAAATCTCATACCTGTATTACACAGTTGCTTTCTACGGGTAGTACATAAAATACTAAGAATACAAGTTTACTCATTCTTAACACTTTTTATTTTGTTCAATTTGACCAAATTGTTTAGAAATCAGTGTATACATTTTAAAGTTAAATGCCTTTTATCTTCTAAAACATTAGTTCCAATTATTTTTTCCTCATCTGTCAGAAAAAAAAGGAGGTGCAATACTTAACGTAGAGTGGTATTACTAGATAGCACTCTGCATTGGAAATTTTGCCCTAATCTAGGATTGGAATAGTAAATCAAGAAAATACCTTGTGTTTATTACTAGTGAATGCCAATAAAACTAGCGTCTTCAGGCAGTGTATGTTTTCTATTGGGGGAAGTCAAAGGCACTGATGTACCTTTTTTCCGTTATTTATAGAACCTGCCAAAATTCTGTTCATTAGGATTTGGAAGATATGTTAAACATGAGGACAAATTTTATATATTTGGCTTAATAAGATGTTTAACCTTTTTAACTATATTAACGTTAAAATATTTGTAAAAAGTGTAACAGTTTCCTTCATTTATTAAGAAGTATGTAGTAACCTTTCTTAAGTTCTACATTCTGAAATTTGTACCTGAGCTGAAGGCAGACACATAACCAATTGAACCACCCAGGTGCCCCAACATTGTAGTTTTTAAAGAAGACTTGACCTGGTATCAATATGTTGGTAAAGAAAAGATAAATATTTCATGAGAAATGTTATAGTGAAGGAGATTTAATTGGCTTCTTGCAAAGACCAGTAGTAAGGAGATTTAAGATGAACATTCATTTTAGGCATGAATTACAGACCTTGATCAAGCATGGAGCTAATCTCCGAAGGTAGGGATCTGACCTCTGTGTAGGCATATTTGTCTTCTGGCGAAAGCCTATTCTACCTGCCACTGTTCACAAGATAAAAAAAAAATACATATGTTGATCCTCTAGCAAATGTTTTATAATCTGAGTTGTATCGTTGCCATTTTATGTGTCTGCCTAGTTGACCCTCGGTATTTTAGGCTCCTTGGAGAAGATTTTGAAGTGTAATTGTGCAGCTTTGCATGGACAAGTCAGTACTTCACCTTGAAAGATCAAGGAAAGAAATGTTAGCTAGTTCAGTGACTTCTTAGCCTCTTAACTGGATACTTTCATGCACATTATATGCTATTTTCTATGATCTACTTGTCCTCTTTTCTGATGCTGTCATCCTTTCTGATTTCTGAAGCTAATAGCCTTCAATAAATATCTAAAACAAAAATTATGTAAGCTTTTTCACTTTTACGCAATGTAAAAAAAAAAGGGGGGGGGGACAAGAAGTATTAAGACAAAAACACCAAGTGAGATGTTTGATTGTCCCACACTCACCAAATGTGATGCTTTGATACCTTTTCTCAGCTATCAAAAGAAAAGGCTTTGAATGTTGTGATCTCTTCCAACACAGAGACTTTCAAAATACACTTAAAATTTGGATTACCTATTGTTGCATGGTAGTATTGGTTGCCTGAAGACTGGATTTCTGTTAATCTCAACCAGGGACTCGGGCTTTGATCACCTAAAATAATAGTTTTCCATATACATATCCAAATCCATATACAGTTGGCCCTTGAGCAACATGGGGGTTAGGGGTGCTGACCCCGCCTGCGCTGTTGAAAATCCACATACAACTTTTGATTCTCCCAAAACTTACCTACTAATAGCGCCTACTGTTAACCAGAGCCTTCCTATTTTTATTCTAGGCAAAAATAGAAATGATAGTTTGACAGACAGGATCTCAAAAAACAGGTGAGTACAGAATAAGTAGATCACAAGAAACTGCTTAGTGCAAGATGTAAGGAGCCTTTGCCCAGGGAGCTATGTATGGTGACCTGAATCCATCACAATGTCACAGCAGAGTCCTGAAACTGTGCCTCTTCCAGGCCAATAACACCGCTGAAAACAGGGTAACGGGGCTTCTAGTAAGACGCGTGTGTAGGTTTAGAGGCTAGGTCCCGCCCAAAACTCACAACAAATTCTATTCTGGGATTTTTTTTTTTTTTAAATTTTATTTATTTATGATAGTCAGAGAGAGAGAGAGAGAGAGAGAGAGAGGCAGAGACACAGGCAGAGGGAGAAGCAGGCTCCGGGAGCCCGACGTGGGATTCGATCCCGGGTCTCCAGGATCACGCCCTGGGCCAAAGGCAGGCGCTAAACCGCTGCGCTACCCAGGGATCCCCTATTCTGGGATTTTATCCGTTTATTTTTACATTATAGTTTCAGGCAGCCAGTTTAACGAAAGCCTTTGCTAAAGGTATCTCCCAAGTCCTATTTCAAACACGGTCCTGATCTTCACACCAGAATGAAAGCTCTTCTATTACTACACTGTGTTACTCCCCAGGTTTCTGGCATTTGTATTTCTGGTTATATAGAGAAGTTTCTTTGATTTCATTGTCTGTTTTGACCATACTTTTTTTTTTAATGCAGAGTCTGGTGTTGGGAGTACAAAAATTTGAAGTCTGCAAAGTCTGCAAATTATTTACCTTTCTTATTCTCTGATTATCTGCAAAATGTGTGTATACACTATGTATACATCATAGAATTGATAGAGGATAACGGAGATGTAAATGCCCAGTCAACTTTCTTTCCTCTTTTTCCTTTTTTACATAGTTTTATTTTGAGGTTGAATTTCAGCATCTGAAACCCAGAGAAATAACCAAATAACTCAACCCGAGTATAAAAAGACAGTAAACAAAACAAAACAAAAAGACAGTAATCCGTTTGTGCGTTTGTAGTAATAAGCAAAAACGCAAACCATGGCAGACTTATTTTAAGGACATGCCAAATCTTACTTAGCTTAATGCTCCAAGTCTCAGTTACATTAAAAAGGTAAACGCTACACAAATATACATACAGATGTTATTTATGGTGATGTTTCTGTATCACTCAAAGAGCGGAGACTGTCTTTTGGAAAGGCTTTAATTAGAAGTTGCCCCCCCCCCCAACAATCTTACCTCTTCACACATCTATCCCTAAAAACCTCATTCTCTGTTGTATCTGGTATAAATACCTCAATGTATCAAGTGGTTCTCAAATGTCATTTGGGTCAGAGGCTTTTGGATCGCCTGGTGGTTACTTGGCGCAGAGATGCTGTGGCCTCAACCAAGACCTACTGAATCAGATTTTTATAAGTGAGGAGGCGTAAGAAACTGTACTTACTATTAAGTCTCCAGTGTTTTAGGGAGCAGCAAGGTTGGAGACTCACTCAGTTGCTCGAGCCCCTCATCTTCAATTACTTTTTCCTCAGTCTTCAGATCCAATCCATCAGCAACTTCACTGCCTTCATCCTGGTGAAAGGTAGGCTAGATTACCGCCGTCTCCCCGGGACCAGAGTAAACTAACTGTCCTTCCCTTCAGCTCTTTTGTCCTCAGTTCAAGCTAGTTTCCAGCAGCTGCAAAAGCAGCGGCCTTAAATGTAAATCGTAAAGACAATCAGATCATCTTTAAGAATGCCAGGGGATTGAAACCAACTACATTAGAATTCAATAATTCATAATGATGCTTAGGAACACAATTCCCCCCTCCCCCGTCACCTTGGTTACCTTTAGAGGAGGCCAGGAAACCGGTTCCCTATTTGTTACACACATCTCTCTCAGTTTATGATGGGGTGACATTCTGATAACCGCCCCCGCCCCCCCCCACCCCGCCAACGCAGAGATCCTTGGATTTAGGAGTATCTGGAGGGGAGGTACCACGGCACCTGTCATGGAGGCACTTACATCTCAAGTGGTGCTTTGTGTACCTGAAGATTATAGCAACTCCTCCACCAGTCCTAAAGACTGTAGTTTATTTTCAGAAATCACTTAATATTTCACAATTTTAGGTAAATCCTCAGGTTCTCGAGCTCTTCCGTAGCCAGCCTCCAAGGAGGCCCTTGGCCATTCTTGCCTCCAGGATTCCGCATCCTCCTGTGTTCATTCACGCCCATGCCGAACAGGCTGACTTGTGTAACCAGTAGGATATCGTGGGAATAAAGAGCGGCGACCCTGAATGTTGTGGGGGTCCTAAGAGTCACTGCAACTTGTGCCTGCTTAACCGTCTCAAGTTTCTTTTGTCACGGTTTCCTCTACTGTTTTGCTTTTGTTTTGTTCCCAATAGAATGATCTCTGATTACTCACAATGGTTTTAAAAGGTCACTTTGAATCCTGCCCATCCCTGGCTTGCCGTCCTTGCAACCTAGAATCACCTGTACGGTTAATAAATACCCTTCTATACTTCCATCATTTTGATTCATGGATAAAAACACTAGAAGTCACTGGTTCCAGTACTGATTCTTACAGTCCTGAAAGGCCATCAAACGTGTCCCGAGACGGACAATGAACCTCTGATAATTTGAACGTTATAATATGTTCTAAAATCTGAATACTCCCTTGATACCGGGATATATTGTGAGTTTGACAAATTCGAGCTCACTCTCCTCCATCGATCGCATCCGTCACCGTCACTGGAGAACACCAGACTGTCTACATATCCAGACACCGGTTTCGGTGTCAAGTTTTACACTGGTTTTTAAAACACTGACAACTTACGAAAAATCACCTAATACATTTTTTTCCCCAAGGGGAGGGGGAATCCCTTAATTAGACAACCAAGATATGGCAACAAGTCTTTATTTTCATACAAGGTGCCCCGGCAGGTGACCATCAGAGAACACACTGCTGTTTACAGATACACAGAACCGAACAAGAGCGTGTTAGCATGCGGCCTTACTGTACACATGGGACACTGGTGAACGGTTTCAGACACTGCAATTAGGAAACAGAATGGGCCAACGCTACCTGTCGAGAGGTTCACGGATCACTCAGCAGTGCCGCGGGCGGTCTTTACCTGAAAGCAGAATCACGATCACTCTGGCAGTCTCTGAGCAACTCTAAAACGCAAGTCTAGTGAGAGGTACGACAAGCAAGCAAGCGAGAGATACCCTGTCCCATCGGAGGGAGGCTGATTCAGGGCCTGCACTGGCACGTTTCTCGGCGGCAATGTAGCCGTTTTAATAGCCTGGGTTTCCCTTACCACATTTGTTGGCCATCAGCAAAAGTAAGAAGTTCCGACACATGAGCTGAATAAGCCTAGGATTAAAAAGCAGAACACTGTCCACGTAACAGAGCTGCTGCTACTTTGCGACTTCTGCCCAGTTCTCACCTGTTGTCCTGCAAAATCCCCTCATCTGATGAATTTTAGCAAAGCTTCTAGCAACTGTAACAGACCTTTCCTAACCCAGCTCTAGATGCTAAGTATCAGAAACAAGTGCCCGTGAAGTGGATGTGTCCATGGGAGAATGGCAGTGTTTCTACTGGAGGTAAGTGTCAAGTTTCCTCTTGATGTTGTCAAAGGAATCTGCTCCCATGTAATCAGCCTGGCCCTGTTCCCACCGCTCCTTCCGTTCTTCTGAGGACACAAAAGGCTGTGCCGCAGCCGGGGTCTCCCCAACGGACAGATGCGATATGGCTCCCGAGACGCCTTCCTAAAAAGGAGAGCATAATCAGAGACTCGTTGAGCGCTGACAATCAGACTGTTTTTAAAGAATGCAATAAGTTGAAGGTGAGAAAAGCCAGGATGAATCATCATGCAAAGTAGCAAAAACTGAAAAGTAACACATGAAACAAACAAACGAAAGACACAGAAAATACAAGGGTCGCATGACTTTTTTTTTTTTTTTTTTTTTCCTAACGAAATGAAGACTTCTTGACTCGGTGAAAACATTGGGAGAACAAAGTAATTAGGGTTAATGTTTAAGTTCTGCATACCTTTCTACAGAAGCCACAAGAGAAAGCCAGTGTATAGACCAAGTCTGAAAGCTGCAAACAGTTCATTAGAAAGTGTAAGATGGACGGACAAGCGAACACGGTCTCACGATAAATTCTCGATCTGTGTGGGCTCTGAAAGGTTGAGAACTTAAACAAAATGATACCTCAGAGGCTAAGCTTCACAAGGCACCTACCCAGAGAGCCACACCACATACACAGGTTGTCACGTTAGAGAAGACCAGAAAACCAGAGCTTAACGGTTTTGAGACTATGCCCCGAACTCATCTGCCTGTTGAAGCTTATCAAGGAGCGTCTATTCTTGTAGCTTGTGTTAATTTGCTTAGTTTTCAACAACTGTGTCGATTCCCATCACCTTTTTCCTTGGTTCATAATTCGGCCCTTGGGTTGTGGAAGGGAGAAGGTAAATGCGCAGGAAATGAGCAAACCTACCCTACGTTAAATTAGAATCTAATTACTTGTAGAAAGGCAACTAACTTCAATTGTGCCAAAACGAGTGTCAGAGCTAGTCTTCAAAAAGGGAAGGTGAGAAGGTACTGGAAACAGCAGAGAAAAAGGAAGGTGAATGGATACAAAGAGGTCCTGCTTTTAACAGAGAAAATGGGAGAACAGAATTTTTGATTACCAGTTTTTGTTGCACTATATGAATGTGTGTGTTTATGTATGTGTTTAAATACACTGGAACTCCAAGGTATTTGGGCAGATTCCATGGGGCTGTTTCATAGCTGAAGCCACGTAGGTCCTTAGCCTGGATTAGCCCTGCCTTGCTTCCACCTGCAACAGGAATGACATAGGGAGGCTCTTCCAGAATCCTTTGTTTCATGATGTTGTTCAGAAGGTAACAGTCTTGCAGGCCTAGATTTGAGTCCCAGTTCTGCTTTTGATGAGTGTTTTATATGTAAGAGAAGTTATTTAACTTCTTTAAGCCTCACTTAATTTTCATATACAAAAAGACACTTAACATTAATACTTGACTAGAGTAGTTGCAAGGATTACATGCTAATATCCAGCTTTCGTTATGCGCTTACTGTGCTCCAGGCAATATCCCGAGGGCTGTGCAAGTATTATTTCATGGTCCATATAAAGCAATTAAAGAAGGTTATGTTATTTTTCCCTTTCTCCATTTTATATATTGGTACAAGAGCTACTATGTGAATCAGGCTAAAAAATATCTACCGTGGCAAAGAAAAAGATGTCTTACAACCTTCTAGCCTCTTACAATTATAGCAAGGTAAGTAACTGGTCAGTTAGAATTGATTGTAATTCGCCCATTCAATATCTTAATATGTAGCACAGAAGTGTAACTTCTCACCCTCTTTCAATTCTTCCAAAATAACCACCCCAGAGGAAGACCTTCAAAGTCAGAAAAGAGGCTAAGCAAGTTGTTGCTGTAAATGTTAATGTCATCTTCCTCTGACAAGGAGGCTTCTTTTTCAAGATTCTACGTAACTGGAAGAGCACAAATATGGCAAACCAAAATAATCCTAGAAAGTATTTATTTTTGCATGTTCATGTTATTGTAACGTTCACTGAAAATGCAATCTTCTAAGCAGATGGCAAAAACAAAAAAATATGTATATTTAAATGTTTTAAGTTTCTAAAACATGAAATAAGGCAATCTCTTTATGCTTTAGGAATAATCTCAGAATTTTAGGATAATGGGCTAAGTGTTCTACAGACACTAGGTATGGATACGTGTGTGTGTATATAGACACACACACATTCTCAAATGTACACACACACATATATATAAAAACTATAAAGTCCTTTCTTATGCTCTCAGATCTAATGAAATCTGCCACAAAATCTACTGTTTTAGTCTTTGCTGGCAGTATTTATTCCCTGTAAGATGAACGGTTTTTTTCAACAAATCTTATTTATCTCTGTTTAAAATACCACTAAACACTCTACGTCCACCAGAATACCAAGTTTTAAGAACAAATACAGCATTAAATTACCTGAAAGAAAAAAACAGAACCTACCACATTTAAGTATGAGTGGGTGTCTTTGACGAGGCCAAATTGTTGAAGCAGAGGTAAAATGCTGGTGGTGAAGATGTCCCACCACAGGTTGAGAAACTCTGGATGAGTCATGGTGGGATCATGAGACTCACTTTTGACACATTTTGTTTTAGGATCATACGTATAATTCCATGGCTTGATTCGTCCCAGGAAATGCACAACTTTGGCATTTGCACCAAATCTGCCAAGAGGACACAGGTTGAAACCATTAGTGGATTCTGAGGACTAACAAAAAGAGAAGCAGCACTTTGTCCCATAGCCTTAGCGATGCACCTTTTGCTGGAAATAGTGGTTGGAAAAGAACGTGAGGGATGCCTGGGTGGCTCAGCGGCTGAGCATTGCCTTCAGCTCAGGGTGTGATCCTGGGGTCCCAGGATCGAGTCTCACATCAGGTTCCCTGCATGGAGCCTGCTTCTCCCTCTGCCTGTGTCTCTGCCTCTTTCTCTCTCTCTCTCTCTCGAATGAATGAATAAATAAAATCTTAAAAAAAAAAAAAAGAACTTGAGCTCACTGAAAAATTTTTAGACATACTTTTAAAATTATTCCATCGTATATTAAATATATGCAAAAATCCGAAAGTAGCAGTGGATCAGTGCAACAACCAAAACACCAACCCACTGTGGTGGGAAAGGCACAACCACTTGGAGAACCATTTGGTATTACTGAGTGACACTGAAGACGCTCACGCCTCCGGCCTGGAAGCTCGGCTCAGCTCCCAGGCATTTATCCTAAAGGAGCTCTTACACACGAGCAACAGGAGATAGGATCACAGCGTTCACAGCAGCAGCAGTGCCGTGTGAAACGCTCCTAACTACACACAACCTAAATGACCGCATCCGAGTAGGTTAAGATTGTTCAGCAAACCCTGGCTCTTTTCCCCAGTCTCCACAGGGGGAGAACCTCCCGCCTCGCTGGTAACGGGGCGTGCTCGCAGAACCTGCCTTTGCCAGTGGAATGCGGGAGGAAGGGACGGTGTGTTTTGAACAGAGAGCCCGCCCTGTTTCTGGTCCTCTCTCTGAGGGACCTCTGCCAGCAGAAGAATGGAGGAGCCCCATGGGGCAGATGTGGAGCCAACCTGTTGGCCGGGCCCCAAACCCTGCCGAGACCACCTGAGCCACTCCAGCCGATCCACCAACATCTGGGCAAGACACACATACTTACTGTTGAAGGTCACTGGGATTTTTATGGTTACTTGTCCACTTGATCATTTTTAAAGGACAACTCCTGGGGTAGTCAGATCATGAGCTACGGTACAGCAGTGAAAATAAATGAACTACAGCTACACGCATCACGTAGCAAATGGATGAATTTTTTAAATGTGCTCAAAAAATTCAAATTCAACTAGAAATTCTTATCTAAGAATCCAATTACATAGGGCAAAACAAAACCAAAGTACTGTTTGAAGCGTAGGAAGCTAATCAATACGTCATGATGTTATCTCTGGGGGAAAGAGCAGTGATGGAAAGGGACAGACGGCGGCCTCTAAGGTACAGGTTGTGTTCCATTCCTTAACTTGAAATTAAAAAAAAAGAAATTTTTTTTATATACCCTTTTGTGTATGTATTTTACAATAATTTCTTAAAAAGAGTAAGAGTCAAGAGCGGTCCTGCTGTGGCCGGGAGGGACTCTGGGTACATAAAGCCAAATAATAACGAGGAACACGGCAAGGCCAAGAGGAGGGTGGGGACGGCGGGCACCCAGGGCCGCAGGCGGGCGCTCACCGAGGCGGGCAGGGCGGCTGAGCCGCAGCTTGCACTGCAGGCCGGGCTGGTGACCTCACGGACACCTCAGCAGCGACACTCCGACCGAGGGGATGCCCGGGGCCAGAGGCGACACCAGCAGGGAAGGGCAAGCGGGCGACCCAGGCTCCGGGAGGGGCCCCCAGCACCCGCATCCTGCAGGCTGCCGGCGCAGCGGGGCTCCCCCCGTGCCCCCCAAGCTGTTAAAGGCTCGTGGGCTGGTTGGGTTTGAACGCCAGGGACCTACCGTCGGCTATCGTTCTCGGACAGTGGCCTATGTTCAGGCCCAAACTTTTTTTTTTTTTTAAAGATTTTATTTACTTATTCAGGAGAGAGACAGAGAGAGGCAGAGACCCAGGCTCCCCGTGAGCAGCCCGACGCAGGACTCGATCCCCAGACCCCGGGATCACGCCCGGAGCCGAAGGCAGACGCTCAGCCGCTGGGCCCCCCCGGGCTGCCCTGGGGCCCACACTTGTTTAAGGACACGACTGGGGGAGACAACAATCCCACGGCCGATCCCGCTAACGCGCTAGGGGCGCCCGCCGAGGCCCCGAGGCGCAGGCACAGCCGGGCCCCCCAGCCCTGCCCCACGCGCCGCCGCTCCACGGCCGCGCCAGACACAGCCCCCCAAAAATTCGCTCCTGGAGTGAGCGCTGTGTACCACGTGGCCTTTCTTCTGAACATAAACAAGATTCCTGGTGTCCGTCCCCAAGCTTGCTCTTCATTTTACATTTTACACGTAGGCACGTGTGTGCACATGTGTGCAAGGGCCTCTGTTTTATTTTTAAAAGGACAGAGATCACAACGCGCAGAATTTGTGCAGACACGGCTACCGATTACATCAGCAACTGTCGGGACGTCTGTGGCCCACGGTTGAGCGTCTGCCTGAGGCCCAGGGCGCGATCCCGGGTCTGGGGATCGAGTCCCAAGTCGGGCTCCCTCCGTGGAGCCTGCTTCTTTCTGCCTCTGCCTCTCTCTCTCTCTCTCATGTTTCTCATGAATAAAGTCTCTACAAAATGCAGAAATAAATAAGCAACCGTTAAATGTTCAGCGCACGACCCCAAAAGATTTTCACCCACGCAGGGAAAGGAGTCCTCGAACACGAAAAGAAGAATCAACAGCGCACACGAGGCAAAGGTCGGGGCTCCCAGGGCCGCGCGGACGCAGGGCCCGTGGGGGTTTCGGGAGAGGCAGGAGGTGGGGACAAGCGCTCCGTGGTGACGGGGCCCCAGCCCGGACGCCCGAGCCTGCTGTGCGCTAGGGGCGGCAGCGCTGCCTCGCCTCCGCCTCCACGACAGACCAGACGCCGGAGGCCAGAGCGGGGCACACGGGGAAGAGCAGGTGTGGCCGCCACCTTCTCCGACGCCCCTGCCTCACCCCTCGCCCGGCCCCTCGCCCGGCGGGGCTGCTTGCTGGCTCCTCCCGCGAGGACACCGGCGGGGAGTTCGAGCCCGCGGCCCCGCCTAGACCCGCACCGTCATGTGGTCAGGACGGGACGGAACCGCCCCGATGAGACTGAACCGTGAGCACAGCAGCAGCCCCCCGGCTTTCTCGCCGCTGTCCCCACCGTGTGCACACGAGGACACGGAGTTCCGGGGGCAGCTGACATAAACCGGGTCCTTATGTGGACCGGACACTTAACCAGCGCTGGCGCGGCTGCACGGGGCACCTCAGGTAATGTCCGGAACGACTACGGGAGGAAGCCAAGGTGTGAAGCGGTTCACGGAACGTGTCTAGGACCACACGGCCGGGGGGCGCCGGGGGGCGCCGGGCGGGCCTCCACGTGGCCGTCGGTCCCACAGCCGGAGTTCCTGACCACAACTGGGCTGGTACTCACAGGCACCCCCAGAAGGAGAAGAGTGACATCTGTTACTTCAGAGGTCACCCCGAGAAGTGGGAAGATGTGTCCATCGGGCCCCGGGATATTCCCAATGTGCTCCAGGAGAGAGCAAGAAAGTAACCGCTGGGGACGAAAGCTCCCGAACAAGCCCTGCTCTCGGAAGGGCTCAGTTCGCACAAAGGCCACTGCGGCGCTGCGGACCCCTCACGGCGGGCGCCCGGCTCTGCGGGGGCAGAGTGGGCGCTTCTGCCTCCAGACCTCTCTGGGCCCCAAGGGGGCTCAGGGGCCGCGGGCCGGTCGGATACCGCCTTCCCCCGCACGCCAACAGCGGCCCCCGGGGGACACGCCACGGCCGGCATCGCGCTGTGGCTCAGGCCTGGGCTCCCCCTCCGTGAAGCCAGGACCCCCGAGGGTCTTCTTTAATCTGAATCATCGACGCCCTGTGTGGCCGGAGGATGCGGATGCGGATGGGACGGCCCCTTGTGCCCAAAGTCGAGGAATTCCTGGGTGCCAGTAGGATGGGGGTGACGGCAAGAGGCGAGCGGGAGGGTGGGCATGTGACGTGACCGCCCAGCGGCTACCCAAATCTCCGCAAAAATAAATCAAAAAACGCTTCACGCACCCAGGTTTCTCTTGCGGCTGGGGGTACGGAGGCCAGACCAGCGAGCCTCGCGGGGATTCGGGAGCGCGACGGCAGGGAGATGCAGGACGGAGGAAGGAAGGAAGGGGGCGCCGGGGCATAACGTAGTCCTGCGAGTCCCGCTTCTGTCCAGTGAACACCGGGAGCTCTTTTCAGTTTTTTAATCAGGTATCGGGGTGTTCCTTTAGCCGAACGGCCCCACACACCGGACTGGTCTGTGCAAAGGAGCAGGGGCAGGAGCAACACACGTTTCAGACAAGGACTCTGGACGGGAAGCACAGGCCCGGCAGCCCACGGGCCCCCGACGGGAGGACGACGTGGGTGGGGGCCGAGCGAGGCGGCTGCTAATGGGAGACACGGGAATCCGACACGAGGGTGGGAGGGAAGAGAAGATGGACTCGCCGTGGTGGTGAGGTGGTCACACACGGCCACGTTCCTGGCAATCCCCGAGGGCTGCCTGGGCTTGACAGAGGGGGCACCGTCCGGCCTCACCCTGGCCGCCACCTGTGAGGGCTTGTGCGTTACAGGGGAAGGCTGTACACCTGTGCTCCACCTGTACGAACAGAACAGTACGCACTTCCACGCAAAGCAGCCGGAAGGCCTTGCTCTATTAGCTTTCCCAACAAAACGGTTTGCAAAAAAGGTGTGAGCAAGGTCTCAAACACCGTTTTTGTTTTTTTTGGTTTTTTTTTTTGTTTTTTGTTTTTTTTGGTATCTGGAGTTTTAATTAATCTAGATAGGAATTTCATGTAATTATTTTTAGGTCTTAATCCTGCTCCCTGAGGAAGGTTTTTAAAGATCATTTTGTGTCATTTTAATCAACTGAGTGCTTCAAAATTTTTTTCTTGAATTTGTTTTTTCTTTTTTTGATTAAGTAGGTTTTGCGCCCAGCATGGAGCCCAACGCGGGGCTTGAACTCAAGACCCCGAGACTGAGACCTGAGCAGAGATAGAGAGTCGGAC